CAACTAGTTATCGGTATCTAAAGCAAAGCAAAGATGGGCAAACTTTTTTCCTTCCAGAAAGACACAAGCCCCAAAGTCTCCTGCAGGACACCAGACCAAGAACCCATCTTCCCCAACCAGATACCCTCCAAAGCTGTTGGATAGCTGGGAATTTCAGAAGCTGCACGTCCCCAGCCTCTGGAGGATGGCAGGTTGTTGGGGGAGGCTGATCATCCAAATTAGCAGGGGGGAAAGCATCTCCTGGAGAGGGGAATTAAGAAGGTAAATGGTAAACGATGATTGCACGCTGCCTCCCATATCCCAGGTTTTTTTTTTTCCTTTTGAAAAAAAGTGATGTTGGGACTCCAGGGTATGAATTGTATACTAGGACTTAATCTTATCATTTCTCTTGACATTTGTCACTTGGCAGCTGGCATGCAGTTGCTGGTAATAAAATAAATACAAATAAAATACATTCCTTCTCCTCCTCCTCTGATAAGGTTTTATTTCAAGATTCAGTCTATTAAATGCATGGATTATTAAATGCATGGATTATTTTTAAAAAACAGGATCACTGGCAATGCAACCCAGTGGCCATATCATGGTAACAACAAGAAGTCAAGTCTACATACATCTGGAGGGTAGCAGTTTGGGGAAGACTGATCTATGCCAAACTTCATGTCTGCTGCCATCTGCCTCCCCCAACCCACTCCAGCTGTGCCCCCAACTCCCCCTTACCCTTCTGCCTGCATGCGCCACCTTGTAAAACCACCAAAGTGGAGCAAAACTCATTTTTCTATTGGGCATGGTGCTTAGCAGATTATGCCCAACTCAGGCACTTAAGTCAAAAGCACATGTGAATGTAACACATAAGAAAGACAAGGGTTTCTTCCTCTACCATTTCCCATACACTCCACACATCAGAAATATTGCCTGGATAAGAACATCCTTCAAGCTAGAGAGATGCGGTGGCCCTACATTTTACGGCTGGAATATTTGGATTCTGAATCGTTGGGACTTTTTTCTGAAGAAGCCAGCAAGGAGAAACTGCTGTTTCTGGAGACGGGCTTCCTAACTCCTAGATATTTTGGTGGAGAGAAGGAGAAACGAATGAATGAGCTCCGACCCTGGGTCTGAAAGCTATCCATCCATTTTTGATAAAGAAAGAAAATAGAGTTTGCAGCTGCAACAGAGGGACAGGAACGAAAGCTACTATATACCAGGTTAGATTATCCATCTAAGCCAGCTTCATCAGCGCTGGCTGTCAATCGTCAAAAGCAGGAATTTCCTCATGTTGTCATAACTGAGATATAAAATTCCAAAAATAAATAAATACATAAAAACACTGCATAGCAGCAAAGAGTTGGGTTTTCTATCTCTCTCTCTAGCCTCTAGGCGCTACTTGATGGTGGCTTCAGCACGCAAGGCACGTGTTGCCCCTGAATTATAACCATCTCTATTTACAGTCCAGTAACTGAAATAGCTACCACCCGATTCATTGGTCATTCGTCTACTACTCTTGCTGCAATCCTCTTCTGAATAGACTTACTGGAGAGCAAGCCTTGGTGAATCTAGCCAAGACTTGCTTCCAAGCAAACATGTGCAGGATTCCGGTATGAAACAACTTCACAACCCAGCTTCAAGCAGGGCCCTTTCAGTTTCCTTGTGGCACATTAGAGGACCAGAAATGTGGGCCCTTCCAGAAAACAGTTTTGAACTCTCCCTGTCCCACAGCTGCCATTCATTCCCTAGTCAGCTCTCTTTCCATCCCCCATGCCATTCCCAACACCTACTCTTCCAGCTGTGGGCACAAAGTGATCTGGGTGCCTTGGAGCTGGGTTTCCCCCAGGGGACGAGGTGCACAACTGTGCCCATTGCTGGACAGATACAAATGCTTTGTTTCCTCGGTCCTGTTACTGGAGCCACTGCTGGTGCTCCCAGTACCCAAGTCCTCTTCCTCTCCCTCCTCTCTGGAAACCGTAGCAATGGACTTGCTCTCCCGGGAACTGAAGGCACAGAGGCATCTCTGCAGGTCCTTGGAGATAGCATGAAGCTGGGGATCAGATCTCCACGGGCAACCCAACAGCTTTTTGAAGGCACACCTGAAGTCAGGACTGCGGCAATAGATGATGGGATTGAAAGCTGAATTGACATAGCCCAGCCAGTTGAAGAAGCGGAAGAGCGGATCAGGGACAAGGGATCTTGCAAAGACCTTGATGACATTGGCCACAAAGAAGGGCAGCCAACAGAGAGTGAAGACACCAATGATGATGCCCAAAGTCTTCAGGGCCTTGTGCTCTTTGATGGCAAGCAGGAGACGGGAGGGCCTCCTACGGCGGGAACCTTTGGATGCGTCCTGAAGGAACCTCCCCTTGTCCTTTTCAATGACATGGAGCTGCCTGGTAGCTATGGCAAAGACTCGGGCATAGACGAAAATCATGACCAGCAGAGGCACATAGAAAGAGATGATGGAGGACAAGATGGCATAGGGCATGTTGGTGACAAAGTCACAGCACTGAGGATCCTGGTAACAGCGTAGGGCTTCCTCATCAGCCTCATCCCGCCACCAGTGGTTCATGATGGGCAAGAAGGAGATGAAGGCAGCCACGGCCCACACCAGGCAGACCACTCCCCGTGCTCGGCGCTTGGTCATCAGCATCTCATACTTCAGCGGGGCTGTGATGGCCAAGTATCGGTCCACCGCAATGACACACAGGGTCTCGATGCTGGCTGTCACGCACAGCACATCCAGCGAGGTCCACAGCTCACAGACAGTAGTGCCGTACAACCAGTGGCCACTCAGAACCAGTGTGGCTCCTGGGGGCACCACCAAAAGCCCCATGATGAGGTCAGCGCAGGCTAGAGAAGTGATGAAGACATTGGTCATGGTTTGCAGGCGTGGGGTCTTAGCAATGGCCACGACGACCAGCAGGTTGCCCGCCACCGTCACCAGCACGGCCAGGCTGAGGGCAGCTCCGAGCGCCCCCTGCCGGCTGAGGCTGCTGGCCGTCCCAGAACAATCGGTGCCGTTCCCCCCCAACCCCGCGTCCTCCGCCGCCCCCAGCCACGTCCCGTTGGGGGGCCACGGGGGAGCCATTGCAGAGAGGGCAGGCTGGGAGGGGAACGAACCTGCCTTGCCTCCCTCTCGACCCCTGGGGGCCACAAAAGCCGCCCTCCGCCGGAATCGCGGCGGGAGTGCGCTCTCCAGGCGCACGGGACGCCCGGCCACCGCTTAGGGCTCCGCCGCCCAGCCCATGCTCTGGGGAAGACTGAAGGCGCCTCCGGAGGAACAGCGGCGCCCTCCCCTCGGTGGGCACTGCTCGGAGGAGGAGGAGGAGTTCTTAAAGGCGCAGGACCCAGAGGCGGGACGCAGGCGTTGGTCTCCTGGACTCCGGGCCTCTGTCCTCCCCCTCCGCAGCGGGAAAGCGCTCGCGCCGCAGTCTTGCGGAGTTTTGAGTTGCTTAACGCAAAGCCTCTTTGATCCGCTGCGAAAATGGCCCTCCCCGTCTGCAGAACTCTCCCCCGCGCCCCACTTGGCATTAAAGGTTGAGCCTCACTTTTGCAAACAATTCAAGCCCGAAGGTCCAGTCGCAGGATTAAGCTACGCCTGGCTTTAGCCTCCCAACCCATCTGAGCTCCTGTGCCGTCCAAAGCAACGAGCCTGCCGGGGGTCGTCCCGTTCTTCCAACCCCGTGGCCGTCCTCGGCGGTTCCTTAGCTCCCTGCCATCTTTCCAAGATTGGGGGGCGGCGGGGAGGGAGGAGAGGCAGCATTCCCGCAGCCTTCTTGCAGTCGAGGTCCGCCGCTTAGCGAAATCATCTTCCCGAGCCCCGAAAATTCGTTTCAAACCGATGACTCTCTTCGGCGCCCACGGTCTTCGCATGACAGCGCCCATCAAGGGCCAGGCGGGCTGGGGATGAGGGTGGAGGGGGTTGTAGTCTGGCCTCCCTCCCGGCCTCTCCTCCGCTCCCTCTGGGGCAGGGTGGCGCAGAAGTCCCTTTGGAAGGCTCCGGGTTGGGAGTGGGGAGCATGGCATTGACTGGGGAGGGGATCCGCGCCAGAACCATCTACGGCTTGCCCTTCATAATTCTCGTAAGGCAGAAGACACGGTTGCATTAAGGGCTGGGGTGTAAACAGGTCATCCTCGCAGAACTTCCGCTTCAAGCCGAGGGCTTCCCCCAATCAAGTCCCCGCACCAGCGGGGAGCGCCTCGCTGGGCTGCGGTACCGAGCTCACGACTCCCGTTGGGTCTCCGCTCCGGCTCAATTTTGCGCAATCGCTTCTGCTCTACTCCCACCAGGCCAATTGCCCTTTTCAGTTGGCCCCAGCTCTACCCCCTACTAAAACCTGGCGTTTCAGTGCGAGGGAAGATTCCACCGAAGCTGGAGTGAGATTCCCCCGTGGTCACCTGTCCATGACCAAGCGAAGACAGGGCAATTCCTCTCCATGGCTCTCTTCGGTCGCCCTACAGGCTCCCCCGGGTTATTGAATTATGCCATTGGCTGAGTTTGTACAATGCCTTGGAGCATAAACCCACCACGCTAACTAACCTTGAGTTTGCACCCCACGCTGAGACGCAGAAATTCAGCCATGACAGATTTAACTGACCTGGTTGAACTGGCAAGCTCTGTTTTTCCCCCAAACCCATATATAAAACCTGAGTGATAAGGAGAATCACTGTCTCCACTGTAGCAGCAGCAGGTGAAAACACCCTCAGGATCGCTTTGCCCTGCCACCTGTTTTCTCTTGGGGAAGAGAAACCCATTTCTCCTTCAGTCCCAAAGTAACAGAATCAAACTTACAGTCACGTCCTAATGCAGCACTGGAATGCAGGTTAGTCCCGAGTCTCTAGAGCACATCAGGAGAAAAGACCTCTTTGGTTTTTAGCAACTGCTTCTCTCTCCCACCCCCCATCCCCCTTAAACCTCATGGTAAGTGTCGGGGATCCAATGTGAGCCAGCTGTCAGCATCTGGCTGAGAAGAAGAGGACATCACCTTTTCTCCCCACCCATTGATGCACACACCTGCCCCAACGCAGTTTCTTTCATATCCTTTGAAATAATCTATCATTTTTTGGGTGAGGCACAAGGAGCATGATCTCAGCTGGGATTATGATGAGAGAGGACCAAGTCCCCACCTCCACACTGGGTCCACACTTTCACACCATTGCTCAACCTGGCATGCTCCTGATGTGTCAGGAATGCAAATGCCCAAAATTCTCTCCCAGGAAGGAATTCTGGAAGATGTGGTCTCCTCAAAACTGGAGGGTAGCAGGTTTGGGAATGTGTTCTGGAGGGGGGTGGGAAGGAGGCAGTGACATCTTCAAGTTAATGTATCATATGCTCTCAGCCTGCTGTCTATGGACCAGTTTTGACAGAAAGAAGTTCAGGCAATTGCTCAATTGCTAAACTTCTTTTATCTCCAGTCTTGATTTGCACAAAGAACCTGAGACAATGTCCTGCCTCTTGCAAGTGAAGATGTGATGGTGGACCCAGGACTGATGTTTCTTCTCTTTTGTCTCACGCATGATGGGGATCATGGCAGGAAACATCAAGATTAGTTGGAAAGAATGTCTACAAATAACTTGACTCAACTCCTTTTTACAAGTTGGTGAGTGTTCTTGGACAAGACTGGATGGAAAAGGAATCATCAAATAAGGACATGAAAATGAAGGGCAGACGTTCATTCTGAGGGATTCACTCTGTTGCAGGATAAGCATTCCAGGCTCTTTAGGGCATCTTTACAGAACAAATGTTATCTTCTCAGAGAATACCAGAGCATCAGGAGGCTCCGATGTTTTTGTGACACCAGCAGCTCAACCCAGCTGAAGACTTGAACATTTATTTGTAATAAATATAGGAATAAATAAATAAATAAAATGCATGTCTCCATACGTAGGAGGAACGTGCTTGTTTGTTAAACAAAGGCTTTGAAATTCCTTCTGTTGGGATTCTCTCTCTGCCATAATTAAAACTAGGAGTCTTTGTGTCTCCCCAGTTTGGGGAGCTGAATACAAAGCTTATAACCAATGCAATGCAAGACACATACCCCCCTACATGTTTTTCTACCAGTTCTCATTAAAATCATGGGACGTGTGAGAATGTCCCCACTTTTTCTGTATGGTCATCTCTCCATGGTTAGTAGCTTCTCCGGCATCTTACTCTTTAATTAAACCTCCAAAGTAGGCTTCATGGAGGACCTCCCGCCACAGGAGGAATGTAGGTAGCCCAGGAGACTTGTGAGGGATGGAAAGATGGGGAAGTTGAAACAGCAGTTGTAGCACCTTCCCCTCCCTCCAGCAAGAAAATCAGCTCAAAAATACCATAAAGATAAATTTGGAAGAAATATTCAAGCATCCTAAGAGTAAGACAGAAAAACAGAAGCCTTTTTCAGAGAGAAAAGGAACCTGAAAAATTACAAAACGGATCTTGGTACAGCGTTAACTGTGATATGTGCTTTTCTGACATACCATTCCTGCCACCATTCCAATTCATTAATGTAATCTCAGTTATCCTAAAAAGAATTGTGCTTGAACTCTGAAATAACTTTTTTATATTTCTGAAATTATATCTTATTGCTCATTAGAACATTTCAGTGCTCCAGATACACAGACCTCTTACTGTTCTGTTTTGTTTTCACTATTTTGTTTTGCTTAGTAGGCACACAGACACACAACACTTGTTTATTCTGACCATAATAAATATATTTTCTGTCCATTGGTTTATTTCAATGGACAACCTTAGCGATCAAACTTTTTTTTTTTTTTTTAAAGCCATTCATTTAAAGCTTTCTGGACCTTTCTCACTGCAGAATTATGCATTACTTCTACAAAGTCACCTCTGGGGCACCTGAGAAATGAATACTTGCTGTTTGTTTCTGTTCCACAGTAGAACAACTACAACAATGAGCTGGTGTGAATGGAAATGCAAGAGTGTATGGGTGAATGTATGGGTTTAAATCAGAGAAAAAGCATTATCAGCAGAATAAGTGACAGGCTTACTTAAGTGCTGGTAAGAGAATGAGCTAATAATGAAGTTTTCAAGAGTTATTATTGTTTGAGACCCACTACTTATTTAGTCTATGAGGATAATACTTAAGCAGAGGCTAGATTCAGTTCATTCTTCCTGGATGGGATTTTGGCTACAAATGTTTGTCATTGCCTTGCAAGACTGACAGCATTTCTCTTTCAAGCTGGAGGTTGACTAAGGATCTTTTGCTTAAGTTCAGTGTGTTTTACAAGTTGAGCCTCTGCAGTCAGAAGTATGCAGACCAATAAACTTATTTGGCAGATTTTGGGGGGAATTATTTGGAATGCCTCTATGTTATGATGGCAAACATTGCTGATTAAGATGTAATGAATAGAGAAACAGGAGATGGCAAATATCTATCCATCCATCCATTTATCCATTCTTCATCTGTTGTGGGATGACTATGTTGTTAATGAAGGCTAGTGTGCTGTAACAACTCTCACCTTCTTCTAAATTTTTTAAAAAATATTTTTGCCTCCAAGGGATTTCGAAAGTCACTATTCCAAAAAATAAAAAGCAGGATAATAGTCTCAACTTTTTCAAAATTTTGTTTTGATGTACCTTCCCC